ATAATATGTTGGTTGTATTCAAAGTAACCAAAGATTGAGGCTAACAGGAACTAGAAGGGTATGGAACATACAATGTGAAGTCTCTTAGCATTAGATAACACTCAGGTTATAATAATTAATTATATACTATAATTGGCAATACATTATAATTAATATGGTATATTCTTCAATTTTGCCAGATGAAAGGAGACTTGCTAGAGCACATGAGATCCTCTAAACTACACTGAGATTTAAGGTAGAGAGTAAACTAATATTGAGTCCTAGTCTTGGGCTCCTAATTTAGATATACTTTGTGTTTTAGATTTAGGGAATAAATGTCTGAATGTGCTTATAGACTCAATTAAATCCTTCTACCTCAGTCAATGAAATGGCAATGTTATATTTATTTACTTATAATGTATCAAATGCAGGTTACCAAATTTTACTGCTATAATAAAAGATTGTTTTCAAAGGGAAAAAGAGAAAACTAAATGACTATACTTTAAACAGTAGTAGCATCCTTTTCAGAGAAGGGTAAATTTAGCACGGATATATTTTATAATACAAGAAGATTGCCTGTTTGATGCAGCCAAAAGTCTTTAGATGGAATGTATATGTTGGTCCATCCAAACTCTAGTGGGTATTCCATTCAACCAACAGTGACCTTGAACATCACGCCTAAGTAAAATTGCAAGTCTATTAGCATATATTCTAACTTTGCCTAGGATATCTGACAGTAAAGAAGCATATACTGTAAACCATTAGTATGTGTCAACACTGTACTACAAAATTGGGAAAATAAAGGGTATAAGACAGACATAGCCCCTGCATGAATGGAAAAGTTACATCTGTGTGTGTGTGTGCATGTTAGTGTGTGTGCATGTGCATGCATGTGTGTGTACATGTTTGTGTGCATGCATGTTTGCATATTTGTGTGTGTGAATGTGTATGTGTGTGTATACATGTCGTGGCTGATGTTGGGAAAGGAGGTGATGGAAGCTGGGCACAGTGACTCATGCCACTGTAATCCTAGCTACTCAGGAGGTGAAGATCAGGAGGCTTGTGGTTGCAATCCAGCCTTGGGAAAATGTTTGCTAGAATCTATTTTAATATTAAAAAGCTGGGCATGAATACAGAACTTTTAAACTGGTTGGAACAACTATAAGAAAAGGACTAAAGTAGAAAGAAGAAAAATACAGGAAATGAACCAAATAGGGCAGTAATACATATGTACATGGAAGTGCTACAAGGAAATTTTATGTAGCTGTCTTAAACAAGCAAAAATTTCTTTTTCCTTTCTTTTGCAAAATTGGAGAACAGGAGGAAGGAATAGGTCCTGCCTGGGGAGTAGGTGATACCAATGGGAAGGGGGAGGAGGATAAAGGGTGTAAGAGGGTGAATATAGTGCAAATACTATGTACCTATTAATGTAAACAGAAAAAAGATACCTTTTGAAATTATTTCTCAAATGGGGAGATAAAGGAGAATGGTGGAGGGGGTGAATTCGAATATGATACATTTGATATGTTGTAAGTGTTTGGCTGGTGGCCCGCCACCACACGGCAATCAGGGACTTTCTACTCCACCCTCCCTCTTCTTCTTCCCCCTCTGGTTGCCACGGCAACTCTGCCCCTGCCAGCAACTGCTGCTGGGGGCAGTCACCCTCCCCTTTCCTTCTCCCCCTATGGTTGCCACAGCAAACCTCGCCAGCAAGCAATAGGTTTCAACCTATCCTATAGGTCCATATTACCCTGAGCCCCTCCTTCACTAGGCCTCAACCTATCCCAGTGTTCCACAATACCCTAAGCTCTTGACTTCACCCAGATTATAAAAACTGGGCTGCCATTTCTCAGGTGCGACTTCTCTGGCCCTGACCTTGGGGACGGTGAACCTCGCCCAAGAGTGTGCTCTCAATAAAGCCTGCTTGCTTTGTTATTTGGCTCTGATTTGGCCTTCCCATCTGCGTCGACCTAACATTTGGTGCCGAAACCCGGGAGGAAGCGAGCCTCACCCGACTCCAGGCAGTTGGGGCCCTGGGCCAGGCCCTGGCTTGAGGCCCTTCCTCTTCTCCAGATCAGTGCTCTGGCTCCGGCCAGGGTGAGTCTTCTCCCCCGTTTTGTTCCTCCTTGGGCCCCTGTCCTAGTCGCAGCTGTGCCAGGATCAGCCCCTCCATTTCTCCTCGCTTCTGGGCACCCGGAGAGACGTCTCCCCTGCCCAGGCTACCTCCTCCGAACTAGGTCTCCTCTTTTAGTGAAGGACACTTTCCTAAAGGTTGAGACTCTCCGAAAATTCGGGGATGGGGTCCTTCCAATCCAAGCCAGACTCAGGAACTCCTTTGTCCTGTCTCCTCTCAAACTTCCCAAATTTGGGACTCTCTCCAGACCTCCACCACAAGCAGCTCATTTTTCTACTTCACCACGGCATGGCCACAATACACCTTAGACAACAACTCAAAATGGCCTCCACAGGGCACTTTTGATTTTAATATCCTCACTGATCTTGACAATTTTTGCCATTGAACCCATAAATTGTCTGAGGCCCCATATGTGCAGGCCTTCTAGGAACTGCCCTCTCGCCCTTCTCTGTGCCTCCAATGTTATCCTTCCTAGATCCTTCTTGCTCAAACACCCAATTCCTCTGGATCCTCTCTCCCATACCCCAACCCTTCCCTTCTGTCTGAGTCCACTGAATTCCTTGCCCCTCCTCCCCAATGACCACAACCACCCCCATCACCCCACCCGGCTTCCCCTCTCCCTCTCTCACCCACTGAACCCTCTCCACCCAAGCAGCCACCTCCTTCGGCCTTGTCTCCCACTCCCTCTGCTCCACCCACTCCCTGCCCTCCAATGTCCCCAATAGCCTCCCACACTCACTCACACTGCCCTTCCCTACCCCCTCTCCTTTGTCCTCTCTGAGAGGTGGCTGGAATGGAAAGACTGGTCAGAGTCCATGTTCCTTTCTCCCTCCAGGACCTATCACAGATAGAAAAGCGCCTGAGGTCCTTCTCTGCCAACCCCTCTTCTTATGCCAAAGAGTTCCACTATCTACCTCAGGCCTATGACTTAACTTGGCATGACATATTCGTCATTATGGCCTCCACCCTTACCCCTGATGAAAGGGAATGCATCAAAGCAGCAGCCCGACGCTATGCTGATCAACTCCCCTTGGCTGACCCCACAGTCCCTGTGGGGTAATACGCAATTCCCAACTGTGACCCTAACTGGGACTACCAACCCGAAGCTCCAGGATGCTGCTGGAGAGACATAATGATTTGATGTCTCCTACAGGGCATGGACACGGTGTCCAACAAAATTGTCAATTGTGACAAACTCTGAGGTCACCCAAGGGGCTGAGAAAGTCCAGTCCTTTTTCTTAACGGCCTCCAGGAGGCCCTCACCCAATATACCCAATTAGACCCCACCTCCCCTGCTGAGGCAACAATTCTGGCTGGACATTTTATATCTCAGTCCACAACAGATGTTAGAGCTAAACTAAAAAAGGCTGAAGATGGCCCTCAAACACCTATACAGGACTTGATGAAAATGGCATTTAAAGTTTTAATGCCCAATAAGAGACAGCAGAGTCAACCCACCAAAAACACCTCCAACAAAAGGTGGCCCTCCAAACCCAAGCCTTGGTAGCAGCCCTGCTGCTGGCTGGATTACAGCCCCAAGTCAAAGGAGGAACCCGAAACCTCCCATCAGCTCCTCCAGGAGCCTGCTTCAAATGTGGCAAAGAAGGACACTGGGCTCGCCAACCCGAGACCTCCAACTAAGCCCTGCCCAAAATGCAAACAGGTGGGTCACTGGGGATCAGATTGCCCTGGACAGGGCTTATCCCCTACGGCTCCTCGTGGAGGGTCAGCCCCACCAGCTATCCAGATCCCTGACTTTTTTGAACTGGCAGAAGATTGATAACACCTTGACTCAGGGACCCCAATCACCCTCACCGAGCTCAGGGTCATGCTCCAGATAGCGAGTAAGTCCATCTCCTTCCTCTTGGACATGGGGGCTACCTATTCTGTGCTGCCTACCTACTAAGGTTTAACAGTTCCTTCATCAGTCTCTGTTATGGGAATTGATGGCTCTCCATTCTGCCCATATAAAACTCTGCCCCTTCCTTGCTCTGCTGGAGGTATAATATTTGTACACTTTCCTTATCATTCCATTCTGCCCTGCCCCACTTCTAGGTCGAGATATTCTAACAAAACTTGGTGCCTCCATAACCATCCCTCCCCACCCACTAGAACCTCTACCCTCCCACTCACTCCTTTTGGCCTCTGCTAGCCATCTTGCCCCTCTTCCTCCTCCTGGATATGCTCCTCCCACCCTTCCACTTCTGGTCAACCCCACTGTCTGGGTCACCTCAATCCTGATTGTGGCTACACACCACCCACCCATCTGCATTTCTCTTAAGGACCCTAACCAATACCCCTGCAGACCCCAATTTCCTATTTCAGAAACTCATTGCCAAGACATAAAATCAATAATTACCAAACTCTTAAATCAAGGTCTCCTTATACCTATAAATTCCCCATGTAACACACCTATCCTTCTAATAAAAAAGCCTTCTGGGTCCTATAGATTAGTCCAAGATCTGCACATTACAAATGAGGCTATTATCCCCATCCACCCATGGGTCCCAAATCCTTATACAATCCTCTCCAACATCCCTCCTGATACTACTCATTTTTCTGTCCTCGATCTCAAGGACACCTTTTTTACTATCCCCCTCCATCCAACTCCTATTTCCTCTTTGCCTTTACCTGGAAAGACCCAGATACTCACCTCACCCAACAACTAACTTAGACAGTTCTTCCTCAAGGCTTCCATGATAGCTCCCACCTACCATTTCTACCAAAACTTGGCAAACTACACAGGTGGGGCCCACTTCCCTTCGGATCTCCCAGGCTGGGAACACTCTTAATGCTGCTCTTGGCTCTTCCTCCAGCCCTATCTGAACCATCTTCCTCTTATCACTGGAGATTCAGCATCCAAGAAACATATACAAAGGACAATAGGATGGTCTCCTGCCTCACCAATGCCGGGGACTGCCCCTCCGGAGGATGTAGCAGACCACTCACCCTCCAGTTTCAGCACTCCTTTAGCAGCACATATGGCACAAGAACTATAAATCTTGGTTATTTCTGTTTTACATTTAATCAAACTGAACCATACTGCCAAGAGGGAGCCAAATGGGTTGAGGAATATGGAGGATGTCCATATTGGTCCTGCAGAATTCATTACATTAAGTTCAATACTGGATCTCACTCAGGCAACTCACTGGAAGCTTCCTATGATGGCTCCCAGGTACACCTTTACATTCCTGACCCCTGGGATAATAGATGGACAACCGGGGTGATAGCCAAGGGATATCAACCTGGGTACTACACATACCCCTCAACAACCTTCAAGATCTGGAGGGAGTATGTGCACATGGTCCCTGAGATCCTTGATGTACTAAAGGACCAGGCAAAAGACATTAGGGAAGCAGAAAACAGTCTTCAAAACAAAACCCAGAGGGACCCTATTTCCTGGCTGTCCCTGGTGCAGGAAGGTGCCAACTTGCTAAATAGGTCATATCTGGCCAATGTAACTAAATGTTTCCTTTGTGCCGCATTGTCCAGGCCCCCACTCATAGCTGTGCCCTTACCTGGGCCATTCCCATCAAACGTGTCAACCTCCACACCTCTGCCCGCCCCCATTGTGGGAGCCCTCCTATATAGAGATCCTCTATCCCCACAATTGCCCTTCTGCTACTCTGATCCTGGCCAAATGTGTAACACCACTAACCCTACCATATTGGACTCCCTCTGGGCTCCTCCAGGAGGCTACTTTTGGTGTAATGGCACACTTTCAAAAAATCTTACCCAACAGGCCCTGACTTCCCAGCTCTGCTTACCTGTCTCTATGGTTTCCCAGCTTACCATATATGGAAGAGGAGAATTCTTCCAACTCATAGACCTTACCTCAAAAATCCAGCCTTCACCTCAACACAGAACTAGGAGGGCTGTCTTCCTGCTTGTCCTTGTGGGCATATCTTTGGCAGCCTCAGTGGCGGCTACCGGTTTCAGCTCTGGTGCCCTGGCTCACTCAATGATCCAGACTCAAAGGCTCTCTCAACAGGTCCTGGCAGGCTTTGAGGACTCAGCAACATCCCTTGCCTCTCTTCAAAGACAGATAACTTCCCTAGCTCAGATAACCCTACAGAACCCCTGCACCTTGGACCTTCTTATGGCAGATAAAGGGGAAACTTGCTTCTTTCTTTGGGAAGAATGCTGCTACTATATTAACAAGTCAGGCCTGGTGGCAACTCACGTCCAGTCTCTTCACAAGCTCAGGGACGAGATGCGCCGCTACAATACTGCCTTGACTGACACCCCTGGCTGGTGGAATTCACCCCTGTTTAACATTCTCACCTCACTGATTGGTCCCATAGTAATTATTTGTCTCTTTCTGCTTCTGGCACCCTTTCTCTTTCAATTTTTCCAGGACCACCTATGCCAGTTAACTTGGGTAACCTTCAACAAAATGATGCTCCAGGTTCATGACTACCAGCCTCTCTGCATGGGGTTCGGCTGCACCGGTCAAACGACCCAAAACATCCCCAGCCCCTAATTCCACCCTCTTTCAGCAGGAAATAGTCAGAACTGATTCTGGGATGTTCGGCCCGTGGCCAGCCACTGCATGGTGATCAGGGACTTTCCACTCCACCCTCCCTCTTCCTCTTCCCCCTCTGGTTGCCACGGCTGGCAATTCCCACCATGGCTGGCAACTCCCACCAGCGGGCAATCACCCTCCCCTTTCCTCCTCCCCCTATGGTTGCCATAGCAAACCCCACCGGCAGGCAGTAGGCTTCAACCTATCTTAAAGGTCCATATTGCCCTGAGCCCCTCGTTCACTAGTCTCAACCTATCCCAGCATTCCACAATACCCTAAGCTCTTGACTTCACCCAGATTATAAAAACTGGGCTGCCATTTCTCTGGGGCAACTTCTCTGGCCCTGACTTTGGGGATGGTGAACCTCGCCCAAGAGCGCACTCTCAATAAAGCTTGCTTGCTTTGTCATTTGACTCTGATTTGACCTTTCCATCCACATCGACTTAATAGTAAGAACCTTTATAAATGCCAAAATGTACCCCCACCCAGCACAACAATTAAAAAAATTAAAGCTGGACATGGTGATGTGTACCTGTTGTCCCAGCTGTGCAAGAAGGGTAAATAAGAGACCAGTGACCATGCCTTCCTTACCATAAACGTGAGACCCTACTCAAAACATAACTAAAGCCTAAATGTCTGCCAACATGGCTTAGGTAGTAGAGCACCTAATTCCAAGGTTTTGAATTCAAATTCCAGTGTGGTTGCAAAAAGAAATGATGATGTGAAAAGTCTAATGTGAATGAAATTTTGAGAGTAAGAATATGGATGAATGTTCAGAAAAGAAATCATGGTTGGTGTATTAGCTCTGACTTCCACAATACAATACTACAGGAGTTTATTTTCTCACAATTTTGAAAGTGAAAAGTCCATGATCAAGTTTCTAGTCCATTCCATTTGACAAGAGCTTTCTTCCTGCTCTGCCAATATCTCCCTTCTCACTTTGCCCTGATATGGCCTTTCTTGGTGTTCACTGAAATAGAGAGAGAGTTCTCTCTTTTCTTAAGGAAACTAAACTGATTGCATATGGTCCCCACCCTCATGACCTTCTGTAACCTCAATTCCTTTCCGAGGAGCTAGATGTTCAAAGACAGCCACATGGAGTGTTAGGAGTTCAACCTATGTATTTGGAGGAAAGAGTTATATAACAATATAGACCACAACAGTGGGAGAAACATTTGTGGGTCGTTAGCTCTTGGAAGGTTCTTATCCAGACTATGAGTTGGATTTCTGTAGAAAAGCAAGTTCAGGACTGTGTGGTGAATTGACTATAATAGGTATTAGGTAGTGAGAGGAAAATAATTCCAAAAGGTGTAACAAATGAACAAAACTAGACTACGAAGGAGTAGAAAAAGGAATCTGGAGAGATTGGCTTAATAGAAACCAAGGATCAGAAGTTATCAAAGAGAATATGGTATATAAAATGTGAAGAATCAAGGAAGTTCTTGTCATTAGTCTGACAGGTTGTCAGCTCTGCCCTGAACAGTAAAAGTTAAGAGAGATTTTAAGGGTTTTGAAAGGTCAATTTGCTCTAATGAGGATTTGGATCATGGCACGGTGCTTAGAATTTGAGTAATAATTGACCTATAAATAATTATCTTTAGATTAAATCACCTACACTTTAACTCACTACATGAATACGAGGTTGAAATTTTCTTCTTTAGTGTTTATAAACTGGCATACAGTTCTGTCTATAAAATATGCAACCTTCCTTAGAAATTCATATTATAAATGTTGGAAGCAGGTTAAGTGGAAGCCTTTGATAATAAAATTCTATTCTACCTTTTATACAAGACACAAATTTGTTACTAATTCATAGTATGCAAGATCAGCAGACAGAGGATTCTACAATATAAATAAATATAAAAATAATTTCACAGGAAATCGGAATGAAATCAAATCACTTGGCAGAGCTGTTTTGTCATTCCTATAATGATGCCACTTGCTAGAACAAGTGATTCTAACCTCTTCCTTGCCTTCTTAATTAAATTATAATAATAGTAAATGAACTTATGACTAAATGATTTGAAAGTTGATTATCAATTTACTACTTTGTCACAATCAAAAGTTAGTGAAGTTTATATAATTATGGAAATCCTGCATTTAACAAATTTCTATAAACACCTAACTTCCATTTACTCTATAGTAAGTCAAGTAAAAAAAAGAACTGCCTAAATATGTGATTAGTACAGATATTTACATGAAAACCATGTTTGTGATATTTGACATTCTTTCATCCATTTCCTTAGCCTTCATTTGCTTTTGAATTTCCCCAAACTTTTGAAATGCAATTCTTCCTAATTCCCAACCATGAATTCTATAAAGGTTTTGCATTGTTTTAAGTTAAGTTTCTTTGAATTTTTTGATTTCTTTGACAACTTTTATGTTTTTCCCCTCCTGACATTTAAAATATCATTCTACTTAGTATTGTTGGTTAGGAAATAATCTGCTTAGTCACACAATCTTTGTTATCTCTCCTAATTTACCTCCAGCAGACCATATAGGATTTCTACTCTCCAATCCTAAGTGTCTTATCTATTATTCACTGTGCATGGTTAATATTACATGTGATTGACCTTGTTATATCACCTAAGAACATTTTGCAAACATATGCATATATTCATTAACTTAAATTAACTAATACTTATGAAATTAAAAATCAGTAGAGCCTAATTACTTATCTGTTGTTACAATTTTATCAACAACTCCTACCTAGAACAGTGCCAGCCATTGGGTCTGTTGCAAGTCTACTCTATAGAAAATTTAATTCTACTATTTTAAAATTTCCAAAATCTTCTGCCAAGATTAGGTCAGGGAATTAGAACTGCATGACAAATGAGTGGCAAAGAGGAAGCAAAGCTGCACCTCTGTCCACCTACACAGTAACATGAGGTTATGAACAAAATACCACAGGCATACCTACTAATAGCAATAATGGAGAAAATGAGGGAAGCTCTTGGGTGATTGCATCTAACAGTTTAAATCACTCAGAAAAGCACACATATTAGCATAAGTTGATAGAGTTTTTGCCAAATATTATCGTCTAGAATAATGATGTAACACGCCCATGGAGAGTATGTTATACAGTCTTCATCTACATGGAAGGGAGAGGATAAATCATTGACCACATAGAGGTGGTACAGGAACACATCAGAGAAAAAAACTTAAAAATGGCTGTGCAAAGATGGACAAGTGTGGTTGAAGTCTAATAGTGGAGGCATGCAATTCCTGGTAGAAATGATCCCATCCTGATTTCTTCCCTAATCAGCACTGTCAAAATCAAATACATTTGTGTATACTATAGAAAAAAATTCAAATGTTGAACTTGGTAGTGATTATAAATTTTTGCTAAGACACATTGTAAAAATTTCTTTAAAATATCTACAAAATAAGCTTAAATGAGATCAGTGTTATAATTTACCATGTTTTGGACATTTTGTAGGATAAAATCCAAGACTTTATATGAAATAATCAAGAATACTTGGTAATAACCTTGATCATCTAAATAGATATTGATCATTTCACAACGTTTAATGAAAGAATATGTCTGGTCACAATGATTAATGGATCATAAAACCAGTCACTAACCGAGAATTAAACAAGCAGTTATCATACTTGCATCACTCTGTAACTTCCTAAGTCATTACAATTTCTTGATCCTTGGTCATATGGCAATGGTTCAGGATCATTCATTCCCATACACATTCACAGTCGTAACTCTCTAGAATTCGAAAAGTATTCTACAATAGTATAGACTACTCAAGACCTATGTTAAGAAATATAAATATAGACCAATTGAATAGAATAAGATGTTTAGAAATAAGCCCCAAAAGCTATGGCCATTTGATTTTTAATAAAGGCTTCTGGAGAAAAATCACCCTCAACAAATAGTATTGTGAAAACTAAACTATCCTCATATAGAGACTGAAACTAGATCCCTGTCTCTCACCTTAGAGAAAAATTTATTCAAACTAAATCAAAGATCTAAATGTAAGACCTCCTATATTGGTACAACTACAGGAAGACATAGGGAAAAGCCTTGATGATGCAGGCAAAGGCAGTGCCTTTCTGAATAAATTCCAATTGCTCAGGAAATAAGAGCAAGAATTGACAAATGGGATTGTATCAAATTTTAAAGTTTCTGAATAGCAAAGAAACAATTACCATAATCAAACAACAACCTAAAAATGGGACTAAATATTTGCCAGCTATTCATAGGATGGAGGATTAATATCCAGATATATAAAGAACACTAAAAATTAAATAACCAAAGAGCAAACAATACACTTAATAAATGGATAGGTAAATTGAACAGACAGTTCTCAAAAGAAGACACAAATACCAGTAAATACACGAAGAAGGGTTCAACACCCTTAGCCATAAATAAAATGTAAATCAAAACTTCACTGAATTCCACCCCAAATGACTATTAATAAGTAAACACCAGGGCTGGAGGCATGACTCAACAGAGAGAGCATCTGTCTAGCAAGCACAAAGCCTGGATTTCAAACCTCAGTATCACCAAAAAAAAAAATAGGAAACTAAAATGCTGTAGATAATGAGTGGTGAAAGGGATCTCCTTACACACTGTTGGTGGGAATGTAAATTATTGTAGTGCAGTCACTATGGAACTCAGTATGCAGGTTTCTCAAAATAACTAAAAATAGAACTGCCATATGATCCTGCTATGCCACTCATGGGTGGATCCTGGAGGGTTGTAAACTAGCACACAATAGAGACACCTGCACATACATGATTACCAAATCCCTCTTCACAACAGTCATGCTGTGGAATCAACCTAGGATGCCAACAATGGATAAATGGATAAAGAAAATATGGTACATTTACACAGATAAGTATTAGCAGCCACAAAGAAGAATGAAAGTATGTCATTAGCAGAAAAATAGGTGCACCTGGAGGTCCTCATGTTAAGTGAAATGAGCCTGACTGAGAAAGACAAA